ATTTCAAATGATATCACCCTGTTTCATACTTCCAGAAAGTGATTGCAGATTTATGGACAATGATGTCATTATAAGTCTGAATCTTCTTTTTCTCTTTCTGGCACGCTTGTAGTAAATGGTTGACTCGAGTTTCTTTTCTTTTCCATGTCTTAGAGGAGGGATTAGGGAAGGTGACGTTATAGTGAAGTTGAATGCAAAGCCAGTCAGGACCACTGAAGACATCCATGAGGTGTTGCAGAGCGACCAGCCACTCCTACTTGAGATTCGCAGAGGGAACGATGACTTACTCTTCAATATCCACCCACAGCTTTTGGTACATTGAAAACTGGGAGAATTGATATCTTTTAGTTGTGAAGAGGCAGGACTCAATATGTCCAGTGCTGATTTCTTATTAAAACAAGAGAACGGAAAAGAGCAGTTCCTTTCCCAACTAGCCTGATGATGTATGCTTTGGTAGAGTTTGAAATACTGTAGTTTAACACAGACTTCAAAATACAGCTCAGTAGAATCCATTGCACTGTATATTTAAGGCGCTTTAGAATAAAAGCTTAGAAGAAGGATCTGTGCAGTTGTGTGTTTTTCTGTCTAGTCTGTTCAGCAGCTGCTTTCCAGAAGGCAGCTTCCATTCCTTTGTTTATGTCTTCTCATCCCTCCTCCATCCTCTCTCTTGGAAAGACTTTCTCCTAATTTAAACAAACCTAAGTCAACACCTCCACATACGGAACACAGGCACTATGAGTAAAATCCTGTTACAGGGAACAGCTGGTTGTATTCTTTCCTGTTTTGGAAATGAAAATCTTCAGTCATAACATAACCTGAATCTTAAAGTCGCACACCCTGAAGTAGCCTGAAAGTACTCATGCAAAAACCAAATTAAATCAAGATGGCAGAAAAATAGCTTGACATTTTGCACATACTACACATATGCTTATACTTTTGAATAGTGTTGTTTTGGTTTATTTATCATTCTAAAAGCCTTCCTCCATGCTGAAATGACCTCAGAAATGACCTTGTAACCCACTTGAACTCCCTGTAAGTCCACACATCATAAACTGAGCCCAGACAGAAAACCCTTCCTGTTTATTTAAACATAGACTCTGTCTGGTTACTGTTGGCTGGAGCAGAGGCCAAGGAAGCAAAGACAAACTGGAAGAACAAAAAGGAAAGACTGGCTGCTGGGCTCACAAACAGGAAAAACAGGGAGGAAATGTAGCTAATAAGTGACTCCTGCTGTGAACAAATAACTACCATTTCAGCCGGTCCTCGCAGACTGATTTTAATATGGTTCTCTGTGCTGCACTCAGCGTGTGACTTGATGGAGCAGTTGTTGGAGTGTGGGTGGTGTTTTCTAGTCTTGCCAAGACAGATTGTTATAGCTGAGCGCCAGACTACTTCAGTAAGGCAGACAGAGGACACAGCTGTGTCCACACTAAAACAATATATCTAAGCCCACAGTAAATATTAACTTTCACTCAACAACAAAGGCCATGTGTTTTTACAGTAAAGTCAGAGTTTTACAGATATCTCTGCATGCATCTAAAGCACAACATATACTCTTCTGTACACTGTTTGTACTTTAGATTAGTGCATTCCCTATGCAACCCAGTCAGTGTGTTGCCATCTAGAGGCCAAATATAGTTTAGTTTGAAATAAACACAATTTATGATTCCCAAAGAGTCCACTAGATGGCAGGTGGAGAATAAAGAATTTCCTCCCAACGTGGCAATTGCTCAAACGCTCATCTTAAAGGACTGCTGCACTATAGAAGTCTATATATAGCTCTGGTTTCTGATTGCATCCTTTTGCACTTAAAGCAGAAGAGACAGTTAAGCATTTCAACAGCATGTAAGACTGTCAGAGAGACAATCGTGCAGGTGGAACCACACAGATGGAACTATTTTATTTATTGATTTTTTATATATAAGGTTTTCATAATATACAACCTGGATATCTCTAGGTGTATATTACCTCTCGCCCTGTGACACTTGGGATAGGCTAGGGATAAGAAAATGGAAGGATAGATGGATTCCAAGTGCTAATCACAGTGCTAAAAACAATATAGGGATAATGTCTCATTTGCTATAAACAAAAAGAATTCTTTATTAACTCTGAGACATCACATGGGTGTAAAACATCCCATTTTTCCTCTATCCAATCCAAAGATTGTGCTTTTAAGATGTGGAAAAAATAGTTGATGTTGAAGATTTTTAAACATTGCATTATTCCAGATTTTGATATTCTTTATAACACCTTGTATCTTAAACGTCAAACTTTCATGTATTGATCTGTACTGTTGCTGTATCTTTTCACTTTTGTTTGTTGGTAAATAATTTCTCAACCACTTTCTTAATAAGATCAATTGTACACAGATGGAACTATTTTATTTATTGATTTTATATATATATATATATATACAACCTGGATATCTCTAGGTAGTATGTTACCTCTCGCCCTGTGACACTTTAAGAAAATGGAAGGTGTTGGGATTAAATAATTTACAGTGCCTCAGTAATGCTATGCTTTTTTATTAATAAGTGTTATAAAGTTATATAGTGTAGTATTAAGTGGACACAGCCCTGAAAAAGAAAGGCATGAGACCATGTGTCCTTGGGGAGTAGAAAGCTGTAGACTGTCGCTCACGCTTGCTTGGGAAAATGTAGATAAGAGCGGACCATCTCTAGTGGAAAGTTACTGAGACACTGTTGTTTAGACTAGAATGAGCTTCTGTAATAAAACTGTTAGGGCCACACCACCATTTTGAGATCCGCGGCAACGTGTCATGAAGGACGCATGTCCCTTCTAGAAGTAATAAAGTGTTAAATGGTCTACTGAGCAGTGTTTTGTCTTCCATCGGATGCCTCTGAGGAATCAAAAGAACTCGGTGAAGTGTTGATATTTACAAAGGATAGATGGATTTCCATATTTGCGCTTTTGTCTGCGGTCTTCTGTTTTCTATGACTCAGCCGTCATCAGCATTTGAATCACAGTCTGATGACACTTGTGATGTAATGTTACCAAGGTGCTGTCAATCTAATCTGATATCTTGGTGTTGAAGTGAAATAAATAACAACCTCTCTTTTTTTTCCCAGCCATCTCACTGCTGCACATTTAACACGGGATATTTCACATCTTGGAGAAATTCTTAAATTTTCAGGACTTTTTCAGGGATCTTCAGCCTTGCCTCTTTTACTCTCTTTCCGCTCATTCCACACCAGGGTTTCATTCAAAGCCACCCACACTTTAGCTCCCATCTGTCAGTGTTCAGTTTATGGTAAGAGTCCAGGGTAAAGGCCCAGAGACAGAGACCTTAGACGTCCAGGAGAGGCAGCCAGGGGGAAAAATGGACCGTCAGCTCAATTACATGTTCACAGAAAAATGGTGATGATGCTTTGTGAGTTAAGGGCTAACAGATATTCATATTAGGCTTTAATTATAACGTCCCTTATAATGTCAAACTGTGAGTCATCAGTGACCTCAGAACCTGATGGCATTTTGAGTCCCATCAGCAGCACTTAATGGAAGCTGAGCAACATCATCTCCTCAATGCTTGAAAACACACACAGGACCTTTATGTGCCACTCGGAATATCCAGGGATGAATTTATCTGTTTGTAGGGAATAAAAAAGAAAAGAAAACCCTTCTGATTTTGGATTTGTGCATACCTGTGGGTTTTCGTCCAATCGAGGAAGTGAACTGGAGACGTCCGTAACAGTAAACACTTGACAGTATTAGGTTTGACCTGTGTTACTGGCAACCTCTAGCAAGAGACTGCGTTTATAGTAAACTTTTGTATTTAGAGGAAGTTTAAGGGTCAAGACCACAGATTGGAGCATTTGGCATAGACAGCTTGCACTGGCTTAAAAAAAAGAAACCCTGTTAAACTGTGGTGTTACAGAAGTACAGGCCCTAACTACACCCATCTGTCTCAAATCCTACTCTCTATGACTCATGGCTTACTGATCACTACTAACGTGGGCAATTTACTCTAAAAAGACAAAAAGACAAAGCTACCAGACTTTTACAGAGTGAATCTGTTAGTCTTTCAACCTACCTCCCACACAGGCACACCAACATCCTCAGCATGGATGATAACACAGCAATACACCACATTTTTTACACAGTGATGCTCCACAACTGGACAATTAGTGTTAGAAAAAAGTTAAATACACCCATGTGCTGTTGTGTTGAGCGTTTTGCTGAAAATAGACTTCTTGTTTCCTCTTCTGCAAACATATTAAGTTGGTTTATCACACAGTGAAGTGCAAAGCTGTACTTGGAATGACGTGCACTTCAGGACACTTCAGATTATATTTCCCAGAGGTCGGTTTTCTAAAATTTAACAAGAGCTTAAATTCCAAGAATTCCTCTCAAAGTATGGCCTGTTTTTATTGAAATCTTTTTTGGAAATAGTCCACAGTCACTTCAGAGTTGGCTTTTTCAGAGTGACAGGAGATGAGTTCTCACTTGTTTTTCTCTTTGTCTTGCTACACATACGTCCTGTCAACCCATTTTAACAGTGGTTCCACGTGGGTTTAGTAAATGACAGATGTGCTGCTTTTGATTATACTAAAGGGGAAAGAGTGAATACACATTTACTTTCATTATTTCATGCATTTAACATATGCACATATGCCAGAGCTGCTGATGCCCTCCCTGTCTAACTTTTCTTTCTTTGACTTCTAGTTTGTTTTTCAGAAGGAAAATTAGTCACCAGTGTCTATTTTTCAGATGCCTAGCCCTTAGGCACTAACTGCAGCGCTTATAAAACACTTGGAAACTGTGTAGGAGACACGGTGCTCTTTTCTGGAAGACCTCTCATTTAATATTTCTGGTTGTGAATGTGCTTGGCATTCCTACTGTTTGATATTGCAGTATTTATAAATATTCACTAAGCTTAAAACTTATGCAAGAATTGTTTTAATATCAGACACTCATGATAGCGGATCTGATATCGTCTGTATTTTGAACTCCCACTGTCAACATTTCAAGTTATCAACAGCTCCCAAAACTGGTATGTGAAAGGTTAGCTTGTAGTAAGGAGTTACATATGGACAGTAAACTAACCAAGTATGCAGCATCTTATCAGCTCTATAATATTTTATGGTCTTTCCTGCTCATTGTTCTGGTTTTTCAGACTGCAGCCACTATTTTTAGTTTGCTTTATCCTCTGTGATCAGTTACCCACACATGTTCAGTGCTGAGAAGGTCACTTTTAAAATGTATTCAACTACAGATTACAGAATACATGCCCCCAAACGTAGTTTGTGATGCATTCTGTTGAGTTACTCAATGAGAGTAATGTATTCTGAATACTTTGGATTACTTAATATATTATCAAGCTTTTTACAACTACATGAATGTACTATTGCTGTATGTGTGTGATTTATTACTATTACTGAAGGCTACTCGCCATACCAATACCAACTAGATTTTTAAATCTTAATATAAAATGAGTAACAGTAGGGTGAACATAAGGTAAGGCTGCACGTTTTACAGTGATCTTGTATAGTAAACTATTTCTGTATCAGTAATATGTTTCTTTCTGTCTGCTTTCAGG